ACACACACACACACACACACACAGAGAGAGAGAGAGAGAGAGAGAGAGAGAGAGAGAGAGAGAGAGAGAGAGAGAGAGAGGGGTATGTCCTTGAAAGGAGATCATGGAGGTTTACTTTTTTTTTCCGCAAACTCTGGATCCAGCTGTGTCAGCCTGTCTGCGCTGTTAAACAAAATGGGACCAACTGTTGTAATTATGTGTAATATGAAATTCTTTGCACTCAAAAAAAAAAAAAAAAAAAACAGAACATAAATTCTTTGCATGGTCCGATGCTGATAACATCGCATTCTATCTTTGCTTGTCTTGCGATGATTCTGCATTGGACACTGGACAGGGACAAGAGGAGGGATGGGGCTGTCCTCCAGACTGAGTTCTTTTTTACATTCTTTGCTTCTATAGTAATTAGCCAGAGATTACCAGCTCCTGCCACGTGGACGGGTGGACGCCGGACGGCGGCAGCAGAATTGCAATGAGTGTGTACACTCTTAAACTCTTTAGCTCCCTCCTTTGTCACAGACTGTCAGCCCCCTTCAGCTGCCGTAAGCCTGTAACACCCCTCAACTACGTACAGTCGGCATTAATTTTGCTGTTGAGTTAAGCCCCAGCTGCATATAGCGTTGACCGTGGGTAGGTAGGTTTGACTCGATTGAGTCCTCGCTGACTGTTTCCTTCTCGAAAAGGCTAGAGACCATTGGCATACTAAGCTTGGGCGGGGAGGTGGTGTGCAAGCTTTCCCGGCGGGCAGTTTGGGCCATGTGTGGGGATAACACTGCGACTCTTTTGTGCCCTTCTCTACTAGGGTAAGAACACTTTGACAAAGCCAAAAAAGAGAAAAAGAAAAACGGCGACAGCTGTGAGATATCATCGTGAAACTGAATTGCCCTAGCCTAAGGTATTTCAGGCATTTCATTCCTCTGGTTCCATTTGGATTCAAACTCAGGACCTGGTCTCCTTTTCACCAGTTGTTGGGTGTATCAAGTACTATCAACTGAGCAAAGCCCAACGGCCGTTGGTTGGTAAGAACTTAGAAGAGTTACAACTTAGAAAGCTCACTACGATTTCCAGGGTCTACGTCAGGGAGTATTTCCGCTTAGCCCTTTTTGTCTTTTTCTTTTTCTTTTTTTAAATTGTTCCAATCTATTGGTGACTCAAGGATTGGGTACTTTTGCATATTGGTGATCCGTATGGCGTTGTTGCTCGTTCTCGTCCTCCTTCGCTTGCAACCCTTGGTCTGGAGGTCACCCCATAGATGCGGATCTTATGTCATGCTGCTGCTTGCTGCAGCCGACCTGCTTCTTCTCCACCTCCCGGTTGCCCTCGTTCCGACGAAGATGGGTGTGTTTGCAGTCTCTCTGGACATGGACATGGCTTTTAAAGAACAATGCCACGACCCAAGCGGCTGCTCAAACCGCAGCAGCGGAACCAGATCATCTCCGCCGTTGCCCAATCTCGGCAATGTCGGCATTGATCCCGGTCCAATCACATCGTCTTCTGCAGTTGGGCTAGCAAATCGTGATGACGATCGTGATAGTTTGGGTGATGGCGATGGCGACAATGTCAGATTCCTAGTGAAGGAGGGCAAGAACCAGACGACGGATCGTGTAAGGATCTTGGAGCATCGTCTCGATCATCATCATCATCATCTTGTGAGACAACTACAGGATATGATTATCACTGTCAAGTGGACCGGGCACAACGCGAGCTTAGTGTCATCGTCCGCCACGGTGATCCAGCGAAGCCGTATCAGTATTGACAGAACAACTGTTGCCGTGATTGCTGATGGATCACTTTCACCGGTAGTCTACTTCATAGAAAACGACTCAGTGGGTACTAAGTCGCGGATAGTAAAGGCTATGTACTGTAGATACTGCACTGCGACGGAATATACGTTTTCTGACGTGGGCGATTTGTACTGGTCAGGGACCGAAAGATTTTATAGCCTTTTGCTTGACTCAGGTTACATTCTTCTGGCTGACAATACCTATGATGCGGTTCGCAAGGTGGGCTTATACAGCGGCTCCGACAGGGAAGAGTACAGCAATCTTGAGAGACCACTGGGGCTGGCGAAGCATCCGGAGGAGGGAACCCTGTATGTCTCAGGAGAGGATAGGATCTACGCCATCCCTCTGGACTACACATCTTCCCTTAGCGTACGCAAAGTACTTGCAGGCCCCTCGTCCACCATTAGCACCTATACGGGTATGATGGATAGCCAGCTCTCGTCAGAAGTTCGCTTTGATGGAGCACGTATCAACCCTCGGTCCATCACTCCGGATGGCAGCGTGCTATATTTAGCAGATTCAGGCAATAATAGGATCCGGATGGTGAACACGGCAACGGGTGCCACGGAAACGGTACTCACTGGGAACGTATACTCAAACTTGGGTCTCTTGGACGCTGATCCTGTCGCCACTCGGGCACCGTTTAGCTCTCCTTTGTCGCCTGTTCTCACAACCAATGGCTGCAATATGTTCGTGGGGGAAGACAGGGGTAATGGAAGGATCCGATGGATAACGTTCTCCTCTCCTGGTGGTCGGGTCCTCCAGGTCAAGACAATCATAGAGTTCACCGAGCCCACAGGCATCACCATCACCAGTCTTACCCTTTCGGACGATGACGGGTACCTGTTCGCTGGCTTATCTATCCCTGGCATAGTCAGGTTCAAAATTTACACCTCTGATCTTCATGACTGTGGTCCATCATCACCTACACCGACACCAGCACCAGTCGCACGACCAACACAACCACCTCAGTCGACACCTCAGTCGCCAGTTGCAGAACCCTCACGTTCAGCGCCACCTGTGGAAAAGTCAGATACCTTGCAAAACGGCGCAGGAGGACACATAGAGTCAACGCCAATTAGCTCAGTGGAAAACACGGGGTCTGATATAATAGAAACCGATGTTGTCACAGCAAGCAGCAGTGGAGGTGGGCCCTCCCCAGGTGGTGATAATGGCAAGGGCGCATCTAGAGTGATCGTGGCCGTTGGTGTGAGCATAGCCGCCTTCGTTGTTGTTCTTCTCGCAGGAATTGCTTTGTTTGTGTTTCTCAAGAAGCGTGTAGCGAAGACCGCTCAGGGCAATGAACCCCCATTAGCGCAACCAGCAACGGCGCCGAACAACAAGGCTGCTCTTGAGGAATGTGTTGGTCTTTCTGTTCAGCCCAATTGTCCTCGGGATCTGCCTCAACGAGGTCAGCTAGAACCTTGCGTGATGCCATTGACGCCATCATCTTCAGTGCATTGCACGAGCGGCGTGGAGAGTGGAGTAGGGAGACGAGAGGTGTCTGTGGGAAGCGAAATGACTGTAGGCAGTCAAATCGACGAGAGTGACCCTATGCTGGGATCTGTGCCAGGGTTAACGAGATTCACATTATCGGAGCTGCAAATCGCAACTGCCAATTTCGGACCCAATCACCTGCTCGCTGGCAAAGGAGGGGGGTTTGGTGACGTATACAGGGCTACTGTCATGGTCGGACAAAGTCCGGCTGACGTGGCAATCAAGGTCATGAAACAGAGTTTTGACAGAGCCAACAACACTCTCAGGCGCAGGCAATTTGCCGCAGAGCTGAAAACGCTGAACGAGCTGCGGCATAAGCACCTTTGCAAGCTAGTAGGGTTCTGTCTCGAGAACGACATGTGCGTACTGGTCTACCCGTTCATCACAGGCGGTAGTCTGTACGATCGTCTGCACGGAGATGCTGCCTCCGCCGCTGCTGCAGCAGGAGGTGCACAGGCGGGGGCAGCCACTCCGGGTCAAGATATCGGGCCAAACTTGGATCTTGCTGAGCGATTGTCCATTGCCAAGCAGATGGCCACCGTTTTGCGGTACATGCACCACGAAGTGGACCCCCCCGTCCTCCACCGCGATATCAAGACGCGAAATGTCATGGTCAAGGGAGAAGGCAAGAACCTCTGCGTTATTTTGATCGACTTTGGGCTGGCCAAACTGGTTGAAGCGCCACAAGACCAGCCACAGCGGGGCGCTCAAGACCCTCAAGATACAACCGGGGGGGGACGAGGGGGTCCACAGCAGACGGTCATTACTTTCACAGTGTCCGGCACCCCCGGATACATGGCGCCTGAGTACATTACTCAGATTAAGTTGACGTCAAAGAACGATGTGTACGCATTTGGCGTTGTTTTACTGGAGCTTCTCACAGGCCATAAGGCAGTCTGGATGTCACCATATTCGCCCGGTGAGCAGGAATGCCTCACGAGCTGGTCACGGCGATTTCCGTTCCATGAAGGCGCGGCGGCAACGTACAGCCAACTGGAACCGTTTTTCGACTCCCGGTTGAAGTCAACTTTTAAAACCCCCGAGGACTGGCAAGTGGCTTACTATCTCGCACTGCTGGCCATGATGTGCACAAATGATTGCCCTGACGACAGACCGACTGCACAACAGGCTTTGGCACACATCGACCAGTTCTGCAAGCAAATACCGGTCTGAGAATCTTTGGAGAGTGTTCGAGCTCGGCCTGATGTAGCTTACAGGTAGAAGTGGCGGCTACTGGGTAATACTCACACAGTCAGCCATAATGATTATGTCAATTTATGTGTATGCCCTTTGCTGAAGCTTTAGTGTGGGCAGAGCAGTCTCCTGGCAGGATATCACAGATAAGGTCGTGGTTTGATGAAGTTTGATCTCTTACCCTTCCTTATCAAGGAAGATCGAGTAGGTAGTAGTTAGGCTTCATGACCCTAGTGGAATGTCACCTCTCTGTAACCAGCTTGACTCTGCTCGAGTGAATAGTGGGCGCCAGCTGCGTTCATCAGGGGCATGAGATCCAAGTGTACTTGGTGCTGCTATGTTCATATCACTGTGAACTGGGGGATCTGTTCTGAGACTCTTGGTTTTGCAGTTTTTTCAACTGAATATTTCAGTGCATGCTGGCTGGCTCAGATGGTACCGCAGAGGGGTATTTTTTGGTAGTTCCATGGCATTAATTTTCATTCAACAGCTGTTTCCCAATCATGCATTTGTTTAACGTAATTTCGGGTGGGTGGCTCCACGTCTGTCACTGCGTGATGACAAGCTTGTATCACAGTGTCTGTGTGTGTGTTTGTGTGTGTGTGTGTGTGTGTGTGTGTGTGAGTGTGTGTGTGTGGTTGGCATTGAATTCACATGCAACCATGTGTTGTCTGTTTCCCAGTTGGGCCCAACCATGTGGTATGAGTGTCCACACAGATACGTCCGATCGATCCGGGTGTTCCTCGGGTTCTGAAAATCGCCTGAACCATCTGCTATGATGCTATAGTATGCCCCCTCGAGTAGATGGTGACTGGTTAATTACCGAAGCGCCCCCCACTCAAAAGAAAAGAAAAAAAAGGATGCCATGGTATGCGCTTATTTGAGAAAGGCTTTGGTCCTATACAACCTCTGAGCGCATACCATGGCAGCGTTTTCCTTTTTTTTGGGGGGGGGGAGAAGGGGGGGAATTAACCAGTCACCATCTACTAGAGGGGGGATATTATAGCATCATAGCAGATGGTTCAGGCGATTTTCAGAAGCCCGACGAACACCCGGATCGATCGGACGTATCTGTGTGGACACGCAGGCCCAGACAAGGGTTGTGTTCGATGGAGGAATTGTTTTTTTTTCCTTTTTATTTCTGAAAGGGCTACCGTCTTGGGATATCATCGTTGCACTTGCCGGCCGCAGGCATTAAGAAATATTTGGTTTTACTCGTCAATCAAGTTCCATGATTTTCCATCATCGTCTGGATTCGAACTGGGGTCTGTATTTCAACAGTTCAATGTTGTACCCAGTACTACCCACTGAACCTAGGCTCTTGGGTGATGGAGGGATTTTCAAACACAATACGAGAGAGAGAGAGAGAGAGAGAGAGAGAGAGAGAGAGAGAGAGAGAGAGAGAGAGAGAGAGAGTATTAACATTACAGTAACTATTAACGGTACTAGTATTATCATTCTATTCAGTAATAAATTACGATTATTAAATGAATATTAGTAATAAACCAGTGTGATAAGCTCATAGGTGAGACAATGGGTAAAGAGATATTAACCAGTGGGATCATTCTTAAAGATATTCATATGAACATGAAAGAAGTGGATACACTTTGTGGATGTTCGGGGGGAGCCGGAGGCTGCGCAGCCATATTGAATTTGCCCGACAGTGACAGTGGACTACCTTCTTCCACCGAATACAACGTACGGTCATTATAGGTGTATTTGGGGTATCTATCAGTCTAAATACAGCTAATATAAGGACGGTACGTTGTATTGGGGGGAAGAAGGTAGGTGTAGTGTCTGCTGGTGTTGTGCTCTCAGCCTCTCAGGCTGTACAGTAGTTGGAATGAGTATGTGTTGGCTGTCTTTTCAATACAATGTGTTGTTCAAGAGGTGGATTTCCCATTTTATTTTTTCTTTCTTTCTTTCTTTCTTTCTTTCTTTCTTTTTTCGCACAAACATTACAAAGTTCCGACCGAGTCCAGTCTATTGGTGGAGTCACTGGAGTTCAACAGTTACACGTCCTTGCTTGCTATCTGTGTTATCAAGATGCAGATCCTCCTCCTAACGAGAGAGGAGATGCACATCTTGTGTGAGAGGGTGGCAGTCTGGTGGCTGAGTACTTGTCAATCCTATGATTCAGAATTTTGAATTTTCTGCATAAAATTTGTAATTATGCATACATGATTTTTTTTTTTTTTTTTTTTTTTTTTTTTTCGTCAGACAGTCACACGGATTTTTTCCGGCATATGGGTACGCCGGCCGGGTTAAATCATCACTCGCGGAATAATGATACTTAACCAGTTGCAGTCTTTGGGTTTAACAAAGACATTACATGATACATTATGATTACACTATAATGTCACTTTCCAAACTTCAAAGTGGTTTGCCTCTGGCGAGCTTGTATGTTGTGTGCCTTCAACTCATGACCTCTTCATCAACTCATTATTAGTCATTAGTAATAGGCTAAAAAAATTAAAAAAATTAAAAAAATTCAACTTTGACCTCTTCATCAACTCATTAGTCATAGTCTTAAAAAAAAAAAAAAAAAAAAAAAAAAAAAAAGTAATTGGCTAATAGCTCCTGGATGTGTGTGCTATTATCCTATGTTCAGTGGTGTCTCCTGGATGTGCTCTGTTCAATGAATCAATGGTGTGTATGACGGAGGGGGGACTGTGGAGGAGCTGCTGGTGTGACAACCGTCTTCACCCGAATAGAACGCCCCCGCATTGTAGCTGTGGTGCAACTTCTAGACTAGATACAGCGATAATGATCGGGCGTTCTATTCGGGTCTCGGGTCTTGGTGAGCTTCTAGCTCTGCCGGATTTGCCGCAGCATCTTGATTGTCTCTGCTGCTGTGTGCCTCCGAACGCCCAGCGCGCATTGTAGCTGTGTATCTAGTGGAACTTCTAGACTAGATACAGCGATAATGATCGGGCCTTCTATTTGGGTCTCAGGTCTTGGTGAGCTTCTGCTCTGCCGGATTTGCCGCAGCATCTTGATTGTCTCTGCTGCTGTGCGCCTCGCTCCACTGCACGAGATTCGAAATGTGTCTGTCACTGGTGTGTCTTCACATGCATTAAATATGCTCCATCGGTCTGAATGTATCCTGTCTCTTATACACATCTAGATGTGTATAAGAGACAGGTACGGGACCCCGTCGGAAGGCGTTCGGCCATTCGGGTCAAACCCGGACCAAAAAAAAAAAAAAAAAAAAAAAAAAAAAAGTTTTCAAAAAATTTCCAAAAAAAAAAAAAAATATGGAAAACAAAAAAAAAAAAAACTTTTCCCTGGTAAATATATAAAAAATTTTAAAAAAATTAAAAAAAAAAAAAAAAAAAAAAAAAAAAAGTTTTCAAAMAWTTCYGAAAAAAAAATATGTTATGGAKAAAAATAAACTAAACAACRTTTGCCTGGGCACTAYATCCAAATTCTTTACCAAATTTGAATTAAAAATCAAATACAGAAAATAAACACTATGATAAAAATAAGAAAAAATAAAAAGAGAATTAAAATGAGTGCGTGTGCCAGCACCTTTTCGACACCGCCATCTTTGCCGATTTTTAATTATTGTTTGGCATTGACAGATGCCCTGAAAATTTACAGATATGTAGTTTACATAATCAATAACTCGTTAAAAAAAATTCAAAAAATAATAAATTTTTTTAGGCCCCGAAATAAAGTGAAAACAAAAAGTTAAAAGTGAAAAAGACAAAATAGTGAGTGGGCGAGCACGTTTTGACACCCCCATCTTTGACGATTTTTAATGTTTTTTTGGCTTAGCAGAATGGCTTCAAAATTTGTAGGCGTGTAGGTTACATCATAGAGAACTCACACAAACGTATTTTTAGGCCCCGAAAAGTTTTTTGGCGGGGGCCGAACCTGCAGGTGTTCGGCACCCGAACGGGACCCCGAACGCCCGAACGTTCGGAGGCCAGCCCGGGGCCCYCCGAACGTTCGGTCAGGTAACCCTGGTTGAGAGTCTTCAGTTTCTTTTTTTTTTTTTTTGAAAGCCCAGGTTGTTGTAGAGGTGGGATACTAGAGTCTGCAGTCTTCAAGCCAACTAATAAGACTGTCACAGCTGGATCAGCCCTCTAGCGGGTAGGATCACTCTCTGAGCCCAGGGTGGTTTTACATCTGAACAGCCATTTCGGTAAAATGGACATCTTTTTTCCATTGCCATTTTATTTTTAAATCAATTTGACGCGTTTGCGAATTTACAGCCTTGTCTGGTTAAGCGTAAGTACCGGAATAGCGGTTAGGCCTCTGCAGCTGCAGTGCAATACGGAGTAAGTTCCGCTCTGAGTCAGTGTTGTCTCCTGTATTGCACTGCTGCAGAGCGCGGTGCAGTTTAAGGGGGGGGGGGGGAGAATAGCGGTTAATAGGTTATGTTCCTGCATTGCGTTCAAATAGCCAAGGCCGGTTAGATTATGTTCCTAACCTGCATTGCATGCAAATAGCCAAAGCCGGTTCGGTTATGTTCTAAAAAGCTGTTCTCTTTTTGAAGGTTTCTTTTCCTCTGAGCCACGGACGTTTGATGCACAATTTGGTTTCAATTTGTGGTGTTGTTCCTGGAGAAACATTGGGGAATCCTCCATTTTTTTTTTGTTTTTTTTTTTCCTGCTCCAGCTAATTAACTTGTCCCCCCCCTCTCTCTCTCTCTCTCTCTCTCTCTCACACACACACACACACACACACACACACAAAAGAACTCTCTCTCTCTCTCTCTCTCTCTCTCTCTCTCTCTCTC